GGGCGCTGCCGTGGGTGTCCCCGGGCTCCCCGCGGCCACCGCGGCCCCAGGAGCTCGGGCAGGGCGGACACGGCTCCAGGAGCCTTTGGACAACGCCCTCAGGCACATGGAATCACAGAATCACGGGATGGTTCGTGTTGGAAGGGACCATAGAGGGTCATCCTGTCCCACCTTCCTTTCCAAGCAGGGTCACCCCAGAGCACACGGCTCAGGATGGCACAGGATTGTGTCCAGAAGGTTCTGGAATCTCTCCAGTGAGGGAGACACCACACCCTGCCTGGGCTGCCTATTCAGTACTTGGTCACGGTCCATGCTCCGACACCACCCTTTAGATACTCAAACACATCCATGAGTTCCCCTCTGGGCTTTCTCTTCTCCAGGCTGAACAAACCCAGCTCCCTCAGCCTTTCCTCACAAGAGAAATATCCCAGAACCTTGACCAACTTAGCATCTCTGCACAGGATCTGCCCCAGCAGTTTCCACATGGTGGGATTTCTGGGGGTGTCCTTTGCAGGGCCAGGGGTTGGATGTGATCCTGGTGGGTCACTTCCAGCTCAGGAGATTCTGTGATTCCATTTTTCTGTGCAGCAAAACTCGGGGTTCCTGGGGGTGCCTGAGGCTTCACAGGCAGACAGCAATGCAAAGGGGAAACGTCACCAAAAAACAGAGAAGTGGCCTTTCCCCAGTCCTGGTTTGATCTTCAGATCTGTGACCAGACATGGGCAATCAGCCAATTGCCTCGGTGTGAGCAGCCACAGAGTTCTCTTCTGAATTTCCATTTCCAGGGACGAGACTTTGTGACACTGTCAGGGGAAAGCAGGCATGTGTTTCATAAAGCCTGAGCCTTGGTTATTTTCCACAGGGAGGCTGTGAGGAGGGGAGGGGGCTCAGGCCCTCAGAAATAAACTAAATCCAGCCACAAGCAGTTCCCCCTCTTCTTCGTTTGGAAGCTCACACTTGCCAGACGTGGAATACCAAAGGGATGAGTTTTGCCTCCTTTCTGCTTATTACACAGCTGAGTTAACCCCACATTTCTGTTTACCTCAACCCGGCTGCCTGGGGCAGTTTCGAGGTTGCAGCGGTGCCGTGGGACGGGCACGGAGCCCTCCTGTTATTTCACAGATATTATTTCACTGTTATTATTTCACAGATATTATTTCACTGTTATTATTCCACTGTTATTATTTGCAGCAGCGATGGAAGGGAAAGAAGAGCTGCCTGACGCATCCTGGCCCACACGTCCTTGTGGTCCCTGTGGCTTGGGGCTGGGCTGAGCTCAGAGCCTGGCCCCAACCACGCCTTTCTGCTCTTTTTAAAGGTTGTTAAAGCAGCCGCTGTCAGTTTGCTGCTCCGCTGCTTCCTCCTGTGTGAAAGGAGAAATCTCTTCATGTCTTGGCGTGAGCTCCTTCCCCCCTGGCTGGTGATCGTAGCGGGGCTGACGGGCATCCTGCTGCTCTGTGTCTCCACCAAAGATGTGCCTGTGGCCCCGCTCAGGACCAAGGTAAGGGATCTCCAGGGGTGACAAGGCAGTTAAACTGGGCTGTTTTGTTGCTTTTGATGTTATTTTATTATTGAGCTACTTACAAACCGAGGAGGGAACTGGAACAAGACTGTCAGGACAGGTTGGCATCTTTCAGCACTGTAGGTTTTTGAACCAGAAACAAGCCCACCCCTTTGGTTGGTCGGGAAATGCAGACTGGATATGGTCCATGGATCAGTGGAGATGCTCGAGCAGGATGAGGGAGGCAGCCCACGGCAGGAGCTGTGCCTGAGAAACGGGGAACCAGTGGTGTCAGAGCAGGGAAAGAGCTAGGTCCCTCTCAAAAGTCAGTAGGAATGTGCCCCTGAACTGCTGCTTCTCTTTTAAATTGTCTTTTATGCCTTCTTCTCCTTGGTCTTGTTTTGATTTCAAAGAGCCAGCATGCTCCTCACAGCTGGGTCAGGTCTAGGAGGGTTAATGCCCATCTCCTCTGTCTCTTGATGCTTGTGTTGCTGAGGTGAGCTCAGAGGCACACCATGGTTTAACCCAGCTGAGGGAGGTTATCCTGTGTGTTTAAAGATAGCAGCCCTCCTCCATGTTCCTCTCAGAAATAAAACTGGATTAAAAACCCCCTTATTGCTCCACGTTCTGTCCTTTCCTGGTGTTGAGCTGGACATAAATGTGGTCATCCCTCCCCTTCTCCCTTGTGCTCCCAGCAGCAGCCTCTAATTTTCTGAAGGAGGGAAAAAAAAAAAAAATAAATCCATATTTCTCCACCAATGCCATTTCTTTCTTCCTCTTCTGCAGCAGCCAACGTGTCCCTGCTAGAAATCTGAGCTGTCACTGGTGTGGGAGGGTGCCAGCAGGCTCGGGCAGGGAGCAAAATCCTTCTTCCTCATTGCTGCTCCAGCCCAGCCCCACCAGCCCCTGGCCTGGGTGCCAGGACTGGTGCAACTGGGAGCTCCAGGAGGGCAGCAGCCAGCCAGCCTCGCTCAGAGGCTGCAGCCAGCTCTGTCTGGTGCTGAAACCCTTCTGGTGGCATTAACATCAACCTCTCAGGAGGTTTCTCCTCCCACTCAGTCACAGCTCTATTTGTGTGTGAGATACAGCTTCGACCACGCACTACCAGGGAGCTCATGAGTTTCTTTCCTGTCTGTGTAGGAGATATCCCAAACTGGGGTCATGCAATAGGGGGCAGAGGAGCCCTGGGCTAACTCTGGAGCTATTTTGGGTGTGGGGACATCCAGGGCTGTGCTGCAGGGTAGTCCAGTGGCCTCCACTTGCTCACACTCATATACTGGGAGCAGCAAGGCTTGGTCAGCAGCAAACAGACAAACACTGGAGACAAAGAGACAGAGCCCTTGGCTTGGGCAATAGCAGAGCTGCCAGGGGACAGGGGGCTGAGCTGGTCACGTTCACTGCTGTTCCTGCCAAGACATCATCTCTGTCTCTGAGGGGCTGCTGTGTTGTACAGTGCCTGTGCTGGTTGCTGCAGCTCCTGCAGCTCCGCACACGTCGGGGCAAACGCAGCCTGATGTCACACCATCGCTGCAGTGGGACATCAAAGAGACACAGGGGTCCTGGCTTCCTCGGGACAAGCGAGCTGCAGCCCTCCAATTCCTGCACAAAAGCCTGAGCAAACCAATCAGCAGCAGTTTGAGTCCAGAATCATTGCAGAACTCATATAGTGCCATCTCCCACTGCTTCAGGACCTGTTTTTCCTGAGCTCCAGGTGGCTCAGCTCTCAGGGGAAGCCTTCTGCCTGGTTTCAGGAGCAGCTCCAGCACATACCACAGCAGGGCTGATGTATTTCTGGGCATTTCTCCATTCCTGCTGCTCCTCATATATATTCAGAAATGCAGATGGTTGCCTGCAAATCCTCATCATCTTCTGGCTTCGCCTGTTCTTTGAATGTAGCAATCAAACTCAAACACTGCAGTGCAAGCCCAGGGATCACTCAGAACACCTACATATATATATATCTATAACGCTACAATATCAATCAGCATGCATTCAGTAGTGGTTTCCAGTAGAATGTTTTGGGGTTTTTCCAGTATGGCATTGTTCTGGATGCTGGCCCATCCCGCACCATCCTGTTCATCTACCAGTGGACAACCAGCAAGGCAAACAAGACTGGGGTGATCAGAGGATGCAGTTCCTGTCCTGTGCAAGGTAAGGTGCCCAATTCCTGCTCAGTGGTCTGTGGGACTGGTATAGGATGGATGGAAAACCTGTGCACAGACCAGGGCCATGAATTCCTTGGCTCCTGCACCACCCAGCTGTGCAGGGAAATAGCGAAGCACGAGTTGTTTATTTTCAGCATGGCTCTTCTCGACTGGGCAGCTTTAGCCACACACAGATGGACATCAGGCATTGGCAGTAGCAGGATTTTGGGGCTGCTGCACCAGGGAAGCAGGCAGAGAGGATGAGGTTTGTCCTGATGTCCACATGGACCAGTGGTAAAGTCAAGGTTGCTTGGAGCTTCTCACCCAGGAGAGGCAGCAAACAGCAGTGGAGACAAATCTGACTGCAGGATGGCTCCTGGCATCTTCTGCCTCCTCCTGACTGGAGCAGTAAGTGGGGTGGCTCCAAGACAATAGAGCATAAGTTCAGCTTGCCTTTAGGTGTCACATTTCAGAGAATGTGGGGGTTTTCCTCACAAATTTGAATCAGTTTGGCCCCGCCAATGCCAGCTGAGAGGGTTTCATGCATTAATGCATGGGGTTTCCTTCCCTTCTAATCTTGCTTTGATGTTAAAGCCTGGTTGTAGTGGGGTGCTGGGAAGGACTGAGCAGTGTGCTGTGGGAGGGCAGCAAGCAGGGAACAGGGTTGATGCCCTTGCAGGCTGTGAACAGCACAAGTCACACATAGAAGATGCAAGAAGAGCTCCCTGAAACCCTGAACGTGTCCCTCGTTCAGCAGCTGGGTTAAGCAGCAGCTCTGTGAGGCAGTTTGGTGTCAGCAGCAGCACAAGAGGCCCAGGCAGGTCTCGAGCCCAGGTGTGGGTGGCCCTGTCTGCATGGCAGCACAGCCACAGCCCTGCAGGGAAGCTGCAGCTCAGCCCTGCACAGGGCCCCAGAGAGCAAAGCATGTGGTGAGGGGATCAGGAGGATGGGGAAGAAAGGCTCTTCCTGGGTAGTAGCTCAAAACCAACATTCAAGACCCCAGTGACTTGCTGGAAAAACGAGTCAAGGCTGGCACACAGCTTCCCTCTGCAGGGGTGTCTTGTTTGCCAGCAGGGGCTCGGTGGCCAGAGGAGAAGGTGACACATCAGCCTCTGTGTGTCCTTTGCTTATTTTTATAGCAACTAAAGCCACGTTTCCTCCTCTGTGGGCTGAGACAGCCTCAGCTGTTGCAGCAGTCATGTGGCTGGTATAGCTGTCTCAGCTGCAGAGCTAGGTTAGTCTTAGTATAATTTGGGATTTCTGTACACACGTGTTTTGGTCCCAGTTCCGTATTTTAGCAGGATGGATGCCTGGAAGACCTCCTTCATTCCACCTGTGACAGGTTCTGTCATGTCCTAGGACAGCAATCTCTGGGTTAACAGCTCTCACAGTTATCCTGTAACTTCCCTTAAAATTCTATTCTGTTTCATGGTCCTCAGGTCCAGGAGTCTCCAGCTACTCCGATTCTCCTCAGAAAGCTGGGAAGAGCTTGGAGCCGTGTTTGAACTGGGCCCAGAATGAGATCCCAGCAGAGCAGCACAGCCAAACCCCCCTGTACTTGGGAGCCACCACCAGCATGAGGCAGCTGAAGTGAGTGAATGTTGCAAACCCACACCCAGAGATCAGCACATCTCACCCTGTCTGCTCTGCAGTGTGAGCCATCCCTAATCTGCTAGTCAGGTAAATCTGCCTCAAGCCCTGGAGCATGGCATGGCTGTGTCTCCACGTGTTGCCCCAGGCAGCCATGAAGATGACAGTCCTGCAATGGCTGCCAGGCTGGTCTCCTTCACAATTACACTTTCACAATTAGTGCTTAGGAAAGCACCCATCAGTCTGGAATCTCAAGTGTCTTCAGTTTTCAGCCCACATGGGCTTGCAGGAGTGTTTCTTTTCAGCGAATTGGAAATGGTGGTGGGAAGGTTCACCTTATCACACGCACTTTTGTGGACCCTCTTCTCAGTCACCACATTACTGAGACCTTTATCTCCTTTTAGACATTGGGGAAAAGTAAGGTCTGGAGGGGTCAGGCCAGTGGGATTTCCTCAGTGACAGAGGGTACTAAGGTCCTAAATTCTTAAATGGTGGCACAATTGTTCAAACCATCTGTCTGCTATTCTTGCCTCCAGTGCCATGAGAGGGGAGAGGGAAGCAGCAGCAGGAGTGGGATTGTCACTGTGTCTCTGGGCTATTACCCAAAGGAGGGAGCACAGCAGAAGCCCTGCAGTGTCCCTTCACTGCAGGCTGCTCCTGGCAGGGTCCTGTAACATCAAATGTGCTTTATTTTTCTTTTGTGTTTAGCCTCACCCATCCCATCCTCTCTGACAGTCTCCTTGCAGCTCTGACTGGCACTCTGAAGTCATCCCCCTTCAGCTTTCAAGGGGCACAAATCCTGTCCAGCCCAGAGGAAGAAGCATTCAATTGGGTTGCTGTTAACTACGTCCTGGAGAACTTCTTCAAGGTAAAGGATGATTCTCCCTGGGGCACACAGAGCTGTGCTGAGTAGCTCCTGCTAACAGACAGCCTCAGAGACAAGAGGTGGGATGGTAAACCCCTGTACTTAAAACAATGTTTCAGCACAACTTCCACTGCCTTTCAGAGGAGGCAGCCTAGATCCTCACCCAGCTGGCTGAGGTGAGGCCCTGGCACAGAGAAGCTGTGGCTGCCCTGTTCCCCCCATCCCTGGAAGTGTCCAAGGCCAGGTTGGATGGGGCTTGGAGCAACCTGGGATAGTGGGAGACAGAGAAACGTGGGTTAGACTGAGTTATTCCTCATCAGGGATGTGAAAAGCAGCTCTGATAACCAGCAGCAAGCACACAGTGGTTAGGGAAATGTCAGACCTTTTAACAATACAGCCTCCCCCAGCCAGGCACAGAGTGTTTACCCCATGTAAATTCTCCTGCCTGTGCTGCCAACTTCAGCATCACCAAAGTCAGTTCTGCAAGACTGCAGGAGATGCTGCCATAGGGTTCTCCTGACAGAAGAATTGCTTTAGCATCAAGGCAGCATTTGAAACCCAAATCTGCCCTCTTGGAAATGTCCCTGCCACCATTCCCAGCACCCTCTCCACTGTCCCTTTCTCCTGCCTGCTGAGACCACTGCCTGGTGCAGCCACCCAGGCTGGGCAGCCCTGTTTGTCCCCACAGGCTGTGGGAAGGCTCTGTGCAGGTGGCAGTGCCTGTACAATGTCTCCTCTGTTCCCTCTGAAGCCACTGGTTCAGCATCCTTATGTCCTGTGGGCAAAAAAGAGTTGGGCTGTGGGCACCATCCAGCTGTTTTCTCTCTCTGTGCACTAATGCTGGCACTTGGCTGTGACTGAGACACAGAAGTCTCAAGGATTGACCTCTCTTGTTCTTTTTGGGTCAGTATGACTGGCGAGGACAGTTGGTCCCCTCCAGGAAGGGGATGGCAGGAGTCCTGTCCGTGGGAGGAACCTCAGCACAGCTCACTTCTGAGCTGGAAGAAGAGAAGCAGGCCCCAGAGGAGGGAGTGAGGCTGCAGCTCTATGGGCAGACACACAGGGTGCACACCCGCCAGTGCCCCTGCCACGGCACGGAGCAGCTCCGCCACAGGCTGCTCTCCGTGCTCATCCAGGTCAGTGTCTGCCCAGGGGCACAACATCACTAAATGACAGCTGCACAGGGTGTGCTAATGGGCAAGGTGTCAGTCACTTCAAAGTCAATCCCTCTTTAGTACAGGTTGTTTGCATATATTAGAAAAAGCCAGCGCATTTGTAAAACTTTCTCTCCCTCCAAGTAGACACACAGGCACCAATTCAAGGGTTTCCTACTCACGGGTTCTATTTGGCTCCTACTTAATACACACAAGCAAAAAATTGCTCTCCAGAGGTGTCAATATCACTTTCAGGGTGAGGAGAGGCAAGGATTGCATTGGCTCCTAGGAACTGCTCCCCCATCCAAGAATGGGAGCACCCAGGAACCAACTGGGACCTTCCATCTGGGGTATTTCCTTTGCTGACTTTAACCCTGAAGCATCTTTAAAAGAGCAATATTTCACTTTGAAAACATGCAGGTGTTTTGGTTCTTCCAAACTCTATTTCACTTGGGGAATGGGGGGAGGAAAAGAGTGGTAAAGGATGGTACAAACTCAAGAATCACCTTAGTGCTCATCAAAACCACGTTTTTCAGGAATTAACTGCTCCCTGCCCATTCACTTTCCTCCCTATAAATCCCACTTGCCTGAATGTCTTGCTGCCTCTGTCCTTGTTTCATTCTGCCTCCAGGATCAGAGAAGTGCTAAAACCGTCTCCAACCCCTGCTGGCCCCTCACCTACTCCCAGGAAGTGCAGTGGCAGTCAGTGCATGCTGGGCCTTGTGCTGCCAGTGATGACACACGGGACATCCCTGGCCCCAAGGAGGTCTTCAACATCACGGGCTCCAGCAACCCCACAGCCTGCATCAGCCTCGTGCAAAGCCTGCTCAACTCTTCCTCCTCCTGCAGCTTCTCCAAGCATTCCCCCAGCAGTGGTCTCAAGCCCCTTCAGACCAGGTTTCTGGTGAGTTCTCATTTACAGTGGGGTAAGCAGCTGGTGTGAGGAACCCATGAGATGGAACCAGTTTGAGCATTAATAAATACAGTGGGAACATCCAGACCCTGACACTCCTGCTCTCTCATCATTGCCACACGGGTGTTCAAGCATGGACCACTGTTTTCCCACAGTGACTGTGGGGGAGCTTTTTTCATCTGTGTCTCCTCAATGTCTGCTGCTGAGAGCAGCTCTGGGGCTCCATGGAGCCTGATGATTATTTCTGCTGCTGTTGTAGGTGGTTTCTGAGGCCATGGACTTCATGAGAGGAACTGTACCTTCTCCTGACTTGGGTCAGGCTGTCAAGAGGCTGTGTGGGATGTCCATCAAAGAGGTAACTGTGGAATAACTTTGTGTGCAGGGAGAGTGGGAAGCAAGGAGCAGTTTGTTGCAAAAGTCCTCAGGGCTCAGCCTGACAGAGTTGTAACTTACTAGCTCACTCAGGGAAAAATTTGGATTTGTCTGGATTTTGTGGGTTTTGGTTTTTTGTGGGGCTTTTCTTTGGTGTGTTTTTTTTGTTTTTGTTTTGTTTTTTTCTTATTTTAAGGAAATAGGGTCCACTTATTTTCCTTCCTCTTAAATCCCAGCTGCTGCTGGTAACACCTGGACCCAATTAAATGAAAAACCACAAATACCTTTTACAGTATTTTAAAGAGTAAACAGGAAGGTTTTCTACTCACTCCTGTACATCACCTTGGTCTTGCTGTTACCCTTCTGTCCTTAAGTGCAAGGGACATGTCCACTCAGACTCCAGGGCTGTTCCCATTTCACCTGGCCCCAAGCCAGGGGAATTTGTCAGTTCTTTCCATGAGTTGGTGGTTATGAGGTCACCCTCATTTGCACTTACACTGATGGAGCATCCACAGTAACATTCAAATGGGACTATTTCTCCAGGGTTTGTTAATGAGCCCATAAGCAGTCCCCTAAAGCAGTCTCTTCTGGAAGGAGGAGAAAGATCCCAATGTTCCAGTTGGGAGAAAGGCTGCAGCATCTGCTCAACCTAATTAGAGAGTAGGGAATCAATCCTACCAAGCAATTCACCAGCAAGGCAACCTGGCTGGCTGTCCTGCTGCTCATGGATCTGGCTTAATAAGGTGGGAAGAAAAGCAGTAATATATTTCTACCCCAGAGCCCAAAATGTGGTTTCAGTCTTCACAGGAGACAAACCCCTCCTCCAGTCCCACAGTCAGTCTCAGGACAGGAAAGGAGAAGCTGTAACAGGCCTGAAATTCAGCTACTGGGTATTTACTTCTTTTATTTCCTTTTTTATTTTTTCCTGGAAATGGCACCAGCTGATTAGGGAGTCCCAAGCAAGCCTGGATATACTTGTTGATTACTGCACTGTGTCTGCCTTCATCTTCCATCTCAGTACAACAGGATACACACTTGACTTTGACCGGCCTGCTTGGACTGCATTCCAGAAGGTCAGTTCCTACAGCACAGTGCTCCCAGTTAGCAGGAGGACTGGTCCCAGTACAGCCAGCCTGTTCCCACACTGACAAGCCATAACCAGCTGGGCTTCTCCAGCGGGATGGTTTTGCAAAATGGATTCACAGTTGTGATAAGCAAGAAAATCAGTGTCAGAGAGCCAGAGATGACACCTGTTCATGTGTACTCGAGGCACTGAGACTGGGAGAGGTCCTCATTTCAAGCTAAATCCTGGACCAGTCTCAGATAATACAAAGCCTTGCACTCAAGCACAGAAACACAGCTGGGGTCCAGGCTCTTCTCTTCTGACCTCTCTTTTTTATTTCAATAGATGGGTGATAGATCATCTGGCTGGACTCTTGGGTACCTGCTGAGTCTGACCAGCAGCATCCCCCAGGACAGCCCAAGCTTCCTCAAGGGGATTGAGCCGGGGGTCTGGTCCTTGCTCCTGATCCTCTTCGTCGTGCTGCTCATGGGCTCCTTCATGCGCATCTCGTACCGAGTGATGGTCAAGGACAGCAGCTCCAGTCACAGGAACAGCAGAGTCTTTGATGACTGACAGTTTTCTGTGACTCAAGACTCTCATCAGAGCACAGTTAACAGGGTCCAGACAGAAATCACAGAGGTGTAAGTCACTGGAGGATGAAAGTGATTTTCCTGCAGGGCTCCCAGCAACTTGCTGGTACTTGCACTGCTGTACTTTGAGACAATGGATCCTGCTCCACAGGAGGTTTGTGATTCCTGGTGGATGGCAAGCTATTCATTCTCCAAACAAGAACAGCCTGCATGGCTCTTCCTTGGGCTACAGCTGGGATTACTCATGTCAAACATGAAATGATGCCTCTGAGCAGGCAGGCCCTAAGCTATTGTGAAGTTAATATTGTATAATCAGTCAAATCAGAAGAGGTGATGTCTGAAAAAAGTGCTCTGTCCTCTTCTGTGTCCTCTCAAGAGAGATGATACATTAGTGAAGACTGGAAGAGCATTAAAATACAGAATCCAACAGCCAACAGCTCCCATATTCTAGGGGAAATGCAGGTATTTTCTACCTGATATGTCTGTGCTTCCATCTCAGTGGTGGTGGCCACATGCCCCTTCTAATGAATGCTCCTACTGACCAGGAATCCTCCAAAACAAATCCTTCTTAGTCTTGGCCTCTACAAAATGCACATAGGATCAAAGGAGAAACAAAGGGCACAGACACACAGCTGAGTTTTTGTCTCCCAGCTGAGTCACAGCTACACAGCGTTAAAATTGCCAATTTAAACTCTTTAGCAAGGACTCAAATTAACACATTTAATTTCATGTGTGCTAAAGCTGAGCTCATGCTGGGCTGAGGTTCACCTGTTTGTTCATTGGCACTGACCTGCTTCTCTTGCTGACTCTGGAAGTGTCTCAGCTGACACTGTCCTTTAGACCAGAGTAGACTCAGGAACAGAAGCTTTCCTAATTGTCACTTTCATACTAGACCATGACCAGAGTTACTTTATGATTTAATAATCAGGATTCCCCTAGGACCTGGCAGTCATCCTGGCTCCTCTGCTCTGCTCTGTATGTCTGAAGGATGAGGTGCTGTACAAATTCTGTGTTACTGTGGAGAAAAGGGATCAATTCACAAATACTGGCCTTTGACTAAAGCTTTAGAGCTCACTCCTCAACTGCTTCAGAGACTTAAAACACACAGACTGTTAAGAGCCTCAGGGACAAGTGTCTCCAAGGCTTTTCAGACCACTTTAAACAGAAATGTAAATGCTCACAGATACAGTGATGTGCCTTGCAGGATTTTTAAAGCTACCATGGCACCTAAATCCTTTCAAATCTGATTATTCGTCCCTTGTGCTCCCAACTGATAATATAGGACACACACACCCCATAATATTGGGGCATTCATGTATTTTTCAGGCAAATTAATGAAGGTTTGGAACCTGCCAGTCAAGTTTAGAGGGGTGTGGAAACAGACTTAAACAAGCTTCATATTCATTTCTTTGAGTTGCATGTTAGATATTTTTAATTATATCATGTCATTAAAGATGTTTTAATAGACTGTCTGTGTTATTCTTGGCAAGAGATGAAAGCAGGGGGGTTATTGTGAACACAGTGTCTCAGTGAGCAGGATGGGGGTGCTGCTGCTGCCTCTACTCAAGAGCTGTTTTGCTGTGTACTTTTGGGGTACACAATGAGAACCCCTGAAGGCACTTTCTTTCCAGTGAAAAAGATTTCAGATAACCTGAGTGCTGATATTTAGTTGATGAGAGACGTGCCTACACCTTTTGATGTGTTCTTTGCTCAAACCATCTGAAGAAGGGAGGAGGCATCCAGGCAAGGTGGCATAGAAAAAAATAAAGAGGTTATCATGGAGTCAGTAATATCAGGGAAATTCCTGAGACTTCATTCATTCTGCACCTGGAAATGCAATCCTTTAACAGAGCTCTGGCTCAGTGACCTGGCAGCAGGGGGGAGCTCTGGGATTCTCAGCTGAGATTTGGAACCTGCTGAGGAAGAATCCTACCACTGTCAGAAATGGAAACAAGCCAGTGAGACACCAGCAACTCCTGGACTCCAGGAGCTCTGGCCTGTCAGTCACTGCACCTTCTTGACTTGGAATAAATCACAGGGTCCAAGAGAAAAGGATATCAGCCAGACCTGCCCAAGCTCTTGTTTAGAAGCTTTGGGACTTCCACACAGATAATGAGTGAGTAATTAGGCAATGAGCTCAGCGTGGCCTCCTGACACTTCACTTTTGCCTTGCACATGCCACTGAATTAAATCCCTGCCCCTTGAGCCACCCTGACACTGAACCACTGCTCTGCCATGCAAAAACCCACAACCATTTCTTTTTCTGACACATAAAAACATTTACAGATGTATCTACTAGATTATAAAATAGATTGGGATTTTAAAGCTGGTGTTTTGGTAATAAAAAAAAGGCATAAAATAACAAAATGGGGAACCTATGAGAAGAAAGGATATTAATACTGGTAACATTCCTTCCTCCCAGCTCTCTGTAGAGCAGATTGTTCATGTCAGCCCCACAATAAGTTTGCAGAATAAATCCCCAGATTGCCTGGAAGCAGAAATCTACTTAAAAGGAGATTCTAGGTGAACTCACTCACTTTGAAACAAAGATGCTTACAGGCATTTGGTTACAATTCACTGTGGATATAATAAATAATGAAGATTTTCTAACTGTCTGTAAATTCTTTATGTTTATACACAGGGCTCTCACTTCTCACTCAGGCTGAACCATGGCAGAGATCTTCTGGCAGATAATAAAGCCTGCTCATGTGCAGCTCTGCTGCTGTCAGCAAATAACAATAAGAAGAAAATAAAAAGTATTAGATCCAAAAATTGACACCAGAAAGCACTTTCTCTGTTTTAGCTCCAGACACACAACAGGGTGACTGACCTGCTCCTGGCTATGGGGCTTAACTGCCATTTAGGCATCCCAAAGCACCATGGATTCTCAACCAGTACATCCCATCTGGGTTGTCCCAGTGAATATTGAGAGAATTAGTTTGTTACCTGCAGCTCCACTCTGCAGTACCCACAGGGCCTGAATTGTTTCTTTCTTCCCATTCTGACATACCCAGGCTCTCTGTGGTAGGAGAAACCCAAGTTGAGGCCTTGGAATCCACAACCACTTGTGGAGCAAATCCAGCAGAAGATGAGAGGAGTGACTTTTATGGATGGCTGGATTTAGTATCAGTATATTTTCATGTTGTTCTTCTACCCTGCCTCTGATCCTGTATCTGAATCTTTCCAGAGAAGCAGGCAGCCATATGATGTTTATATCCTACCTCACGGACTGTCACTCCTACTTCAAGAGCTAATTCTGAACACACTGAAGAAAAACAGGCCTGAAGAATCAGAAAATCTGCAATTTTTTTTTTGCCACAGCTTTCTTAATATAAAAGTCCTTTCACAATGCCATCAAACCCAGGCAAGTCACAGTGTTTTGGTGCTTTCCAAGTGCAGACATGACTGTGTACTTGTACACTGAGGTGACCAGGTGTCCTCCATGTGAGATACTCAGAGCCCTCCTGCAGGCAGGTGCTGTCAGATCCCTGTTGAAGCCCGACAAACACAGAACAGGAACTGCTGCTCCCCGAGTAGTGTGCAATGCCAGGGATCAGTCACGAGAGGGAGGCTGGCAGAGCTCCCCGGGAAAGCCTCAGGAAATCTCTGACACAGCCAGCAGCTTCTCCCACCACAAATGACACCAATTAGCGAGGAGGCTTCTCTGGGAAGCAGGGGAAAGACACTGTGGTATGGAAGCTCTCTGTGTGGGATGTGAAAGCTGCTCTGACCAGGGATTGAAGAAGCCATGGCATTGGAAGAGGTCCTCTATGCAGGGAGACAGGCACTAGCAGGGAGGATGGATGAAGGCTCTTTTGGAAACAAGAGGGAGAAAGAATAATCCCTGCCAGGAAGAGGAGTGCCCTGGGAATGAAAAGGAGGTTTGAGAGAGACAGAGGAATGATAAAATCAGCTTCTGTGTGAAGGAAAGCTTATTTTTGTTCACAGCAGGGGTGTCACCATATGTGCACCTCATGACCAAATTAGTCAGCACTTGGTGGAAAGTCTCAGGAGAAACAGATCCTCCACGTGGAAGAAGGCAACAGCTACCAGGCTTATCACTGGACAAGGAACAGCAGAGCTGCGGAACCTTCATGGGAACAATGTTCAAAGTTCACAGGTTTTAAAGATGAAAGAGATGTAAATGGCCAAGTAATGCTGAACATTACATAAAGTAAAAGCTGGTGTAGCATTACTTTGTCTCACAGTATCATGGAAAATGTTAAACAGTCCTGGAGTGAAAGCTCTGAAGGGACACACTCATGGCTTTGTGAATGGAGTTATTCAGTGGAAATCATCAAACCAAATGGAAGGAGCTCTTCTTCCACACAGATCATGGTTAAACCACTTATCAGGCTGTTTATGGCAAAAGTTTACATGGCTGCAAAAAGTGATTAGATAAATTCGTAATAACCCATTTGGACTATTAAACAGAATGTTGCTTGTGGCTGAAGGATTGCCCGAACCACCTGCCACATCCATATCTGTCTGCCCTGTTCCTCTTTGGTAACTGCTGCAGAGCATTAGGCATTGGCTTGGGTGGACCTGTGGCTGGATCCCATTCAGCTGTTCTGATTTCCCTCAGGCAGGAATCCCACAACTGCATCGCTCACTCACTGGTTTCTGGAAGCAGCCTCTCACCTCCATAGCTTCAATTTCACAGGAGCAATACTTTCTGGAAAACAAGACTGTTTATCCTTAGAAGTAGCAATCAGATGAGAATAAGAAAACACCTGCACATAGCCACAGCTCACTTCAGTGTTACCATAAACCTGGAACAACCCCAATACCAAAAGCCCTCTGGTTCTGGAGGCAGCTCCCACCCACCTCCACCTCTCCCTTAACTCAGAACTTCAGGTTTTTACCTAGAGAAACAGAACGAATTCTGTGATTTCTGGCTCCTGCCAGCCCCAGGTAGAGGCTCAGTTCAGACTGGATCCTGTTTCACAGACACAGGCTGCAATCTCGCTGGTTAAGCACCAAGAGAGGAACGACAGTCGCTGTCTGCCTGGGAGGGATCAGCTCTGTACTCACACGCAGAGAACACTGGGGAAGGCAATATGCAAAAATGAAAAGAAAGTCCCTCCCCACTCTGTTCAAACCAATTGTGTTTACAGCAAAATCTGTTTCCAAGCCAAAAGCAATACACTTAGTTACAAAATAAAAACAATTGCAATAAAAAGATTTTTTTTAAACCCTAATACATAATTCAACAAAACAGAATATTATTTCCAACTTGTTTTAACTTCCCTGTGTCTATCTTGGGGTTATACCCAGGGTCTTTGGCCATGTAACACTGCCCCAATGTTTTTTAGGACCCCTCTTACAGCATTAATTTAAGCAGCACTTAGAGATGGGATCTGCCCCTAAATGAGGTGAAACCTCCTTGCTTGTCACTTGCAGCAGAGTTTGAAGAGAGCATTCAAAGTAATCAAATGCCAGCTAAGACAGACGTCTGCAATGAAAACACGATGTGGGAGCACAAACATCCCACCTCAGTGCTGGTCCTTTCTCTGTCCTCTCAGCCACTAGAAATGCACTTCGGTATTTGGCTCAGGCAGGACCATGGAATGTGCAGCTTTTTATCCCAGAATTTGCCTCACACTCAGTATTCCATGCAGAGGCTTGCCTTGGGAGGAATGCTTCATGTGAGCCAGGGTTCTGGCACAGACCTGCTGTGGCACTTGCCAGCTCACCTCCTGGCACAGACTAATTAATGCTGGCCTGCCACAGCATTAGAAACAGCAGGGCTGGCATGGTCAGCAGCTCCAGCAGCTCTCCATGGAGATTCCTGACTGTGTTCCTTCTCAGAGACATCTTAGAAGTACTGGCATTTTACTTAAATTTAAAAAATGGAAAAATATTTAAGATAGAATTGTCATTTCCTGTGGAAGTGCACGTAGCTAAGAACAGAAATACTCACTAACTAGGCTAGAATTAGCAGAAAATTAATGATGCACAAATAATATGTCCTCCATGGATATTCAGGTGGCTGAACCTCCTGGGGAAACCTCTGGAAGCTCAGAGAGCAAAGTTTAGCTCCTCCACAGGGTCCTGGCCCTGCTCCAGGGAGCGATCCCGCTGGTGTTCTGCAGACAGGTATGGGAGCCTTAACCGAGCAGAGCATTTCCACTCTCACACTCCCTCTGGGAATGCTGGGGGTGGCAACAATTGCTCACTCCACACATTACAGAGCAGCTTCCCAAACATGAAAGGCAGGGCAGGCTGGAGTAGAGGCTGTGGGAAGCACCAAGTGAGGACGTGGATGACACTAATGCACAGGCCTTTGCTTTCTGGCCCTGGCTGGAAAAAACCCAAACCTGTATCTGCATTAAATACAGCAGCAATTGTACCAGAAAACCTCCCCCAAGCCCTGCAGTGGCTCCCCCTCTCCATCTCAGGGCAGGTTTTCCAGGGTTTCCCGAGCACACGTGCCTGTGAACGCTGTGCTGAGCACAGCTGATGAGAATTGATGCTGAATGTCCCTTCCCGAACAGCACAACACAGGCAACACACTCTACATTCCCCGGTTTTAATCAGAAAGAAGTCAGGATTCCTTTTGTACATTACTCTGAAGAGACAGCATCACATCCTGCAGGAAAAGCTGTCTTTACTGATTAGCACAGCCTTGTGTGAAATCTTGAGCAAGTCTTATCCAGATTCATCCTGGCTGCCTTTGGTACCTAAATGATGCTGCAGTTTTTGGAATTGGTCACCTCAAACAGCATCACAGAGGACAGAGGACTGCTCTGAGCTGAAGCAGGCCAAGCCATCCCTTTCCACTGATTCCAGTGTGAACACTATTCAATCGATGCCTGTAATTAGTGGGATAAATCTGGACCCTAATGCGTCTGCATTACTCAGCTATCTCAGAGGGAACTGCAGAAACCTCCTGCATTCCAGCTGCGGATGTGAAGGATGAGATGTGTGTGTCTCCCCAGCCACCTTGGAGGCCGACACAGGCCTTTCCCAGGACCCTCTCAGGTCACTCCTGATGCTCTGGGGCTGCTCCAAGTGTTCCTGCACTCCTTCCAGCACCTCTGCAGGAATATGTTGTTTATGTGCCAGAAATATCGATCCTCATAACCTTTACATTAAGCCAACTACCAGAGGCCGTTCAACCTCCAGCCAAAGACTTCACAGAGCTTCTATATCCTGCCACCTCCTCACCTGACCCAGGCACAGGATTGGATTATTGTTATCCAGGCACAGATTCCGGGCTGTGTACAAGCCGTTTGTGTGTCACACAGAGCTGGCCTGTGTCAGCAGAATTGAGGTCATGGCTGCATTTGCCTCAGCCCACCCCACGGCAAGGCAGCAGGATGAGACTCCCTGCCTTGGGAGCTCCATTAGGAGCCTCTTTCAAGTCTTTCCTACAGTATGAAACAAGAAGAGATGCTGGGACTTGTAGATCCAGCCGGCATCACAATGAATACACACAACCATAAAAAGATTCTGCTGAAACAATAATCAAATATGCTTAATAAAACTGTGACCAATAGATGCACTGTCTGGGCAAGAATGTGCTCACAAAGCTGGGAGGTAGAATAAGGGACAAGGAAAGGCAAGGGTGGTATTTAACCAACATGAGGTGTCTGGCTGCCTCATGACGGGGCTGTAGTACCCACACACAGCCCAGGATGGAGGTGTCCATGTGGGGAAGCCCTGGTAAGCAACGTCTACCTCAGATCCCCTCACGGACAGGAGCCCCTCACTGGGGCCTTCCCCTCACATCACAAAGGCTTCTACAGAGCTGCCACTGCACGGCTCAGAGCAGCCCTAAGCCCTCACAGCCCCTCACAGCAGCCCAGGGTCCCCCTCTGCCTCCACAGCCCTCACACTTCCCTCACAGACCCTCGAGCTCCCACAGTCTTCTCCCAGCTGCCAGACCCCCTGAGCCCCCACAGGAGCCAGATTCCCTGAGCCCTCAGAGCCCCTCTCACCCTCCCGAGCCCTCACACACCCCTCACACCGCCCG